TATATATATATATATATATATATATATATATATATATATATATATATATATATATAAAATGTATTCTTAACATTATTTTTAGAGATGCTATAGTATAGTGTATGAATAAAAATAATGTAATACTAACAACAGTAATGCTCTGCAGTGGTTTAGACGCTTTGTAATAGAAACTTGCAGATTATGTGTCCTGTGTTCAGCATAAAAAGTCAAAAGGTAAACGCAGATATTTGACTTCTCCAAATTGAGCTTCAAAACGATGACACAGTGATAACCATATATTTTGTGTGTGTGTTGGAACTCATACAAATGTAAACAACACTGTATAATAACAAATTAATACTACCGGTATTAATTATTGTTGTTATGTAATGTTTGGCTCAAACAAAAACCAACAACTGCTCAGCCCAAACATGTGAAGTCCATTATTTGTCACTGATAAAAAGACAATCTCATAACTATGTTTTAAAAATAGCTTTAAATATATATGATGGGGTTAATATTGGCTCCACCTTTACCAGCTGCAACATCAAAGTGATGCTTACACATTAACGTATCACTCATTCCATTCTGCATGAAGAGTACTTTTACTTTTGGTACTTTCATTTTTCATATTTTGAAGCTTATAGCCTACTGATGTACTTTTACTGCAGTACAATTGGTACTCAGATCTTTTAGTAAAAGATCTGAGTACTTCTTCCACCAATGGATGTCAAATTTAAGAAAGAAATCCTGGTGTTTGATTTCGGACTTTGTTTCGCTCCAGCCATCTGTGCCTGTTTAAAAAAAACAAATCTCCCAAAACAATAAAATCCACAAACTGAGCAAACGTTGAGTGCTAACCTGGCTCCAGGTTTCAGGTTCTTCATGTAAGTTCAGTGGTTTCCAGTGCAGTAGAGCTAGCTGACTCTCTGTGGGCTCTTGGCTCTCTGGTTGAACTCTCTCTGGGCTCTGGACTCGTTCTGGTCCTGCAGGTTCCTCGGGGGGTCGACTTTGGTTCTGCGTCTCCGCTGCGCTGTTCTGTTTTCTGCTCGGTACTACTGTTCTATCAAGATTGTCTCTGACCATCCTAGAAAGGAGAATCCTCCTCTTGTCCACCTGTTGCGCCAGTTCCTCCACTTTTCACTGGCAGATCCTCCATCACTGACCCCTTTCTGGCCGGTCATCTGCTGCTCAGTCCTCTTTCAGACTCCATGTTGCTTTAAACAACAGCTTGAGAATTGAATCAAGATTTATCAACTTCATCACAAACTTCTGGAGGGGAGCAGATGCAGGATCTGTTCAGCCATCTGTCCTTGACGGATTGCCACTGAAGAACGTGATGAGCTGAAATACAAAAAGGTGAACAATCAGTCAAAATGTTTTATTCCACTGAACTGCATTTCACCTTAATCATCACAATATACAATAGGTCTAATGGTATGTATGGCCATTAGGGGGCAGCAGAAACCAGTTGTGAACACAACATTGACATATAAACAGCTGCTTATTTACACATCCAGCAGTTACAGAGCAACATTATCATTCATTTGTGTTTAGGGCTGCGACTATAGATGATTCTCACTGTGGATTAAGCCATTGATTATTTTCTCAGTTGTTCGGTCTATGAAATGTCACAAAGTGAGAATCAGTGTTTCCTGAATCCCAAGATGACGTCCTCAAATGTCTTGTTTTGTCCACAAATGAAAGATATTCAGTTTACTGTCACAGAGCAGCTCAAGAATTCAGAAAATATTCACTTTTAATCATTTCAGTTGTAGTTGATTTCGAAGTAATTGTTCTCAGAGTTTACCAGTCGGACGTTTGAGAAAGCTGAGAAAGAAATGTAATACTAACATGCTATGTTTCTGAATTGTGTACATAGTTTCATTTATTGTGTGTATACAATGGAGAAAAACTGTAACACGGCATTTTTTCAGGGAATGTCACCACAGTCACCTAGTTCATAACACAGCAAATATATAAATATTGCAATTCTTTCATCAGTATAGTAATAATCACCATTGTGTTACCTCCTTTGGCAATAGATAGTGACTTTGTGATTTATTTATGAAAATCTTTGAGAATGTCACATGTAGAAGCTGGAATCAGAGAATTTTTGATTATCAAAATAGTTGATTAATGTAATAGTTAATATATTGATTAATCGTTGCAGCTCTATTAGTGTTTCTGGCCACCTGACGAAATGAAGTCCAATATTCTCTCTCTTTTAGCTCTGTTTTGGGTCTCCACCAACTCCTCAGGGAAATATCTGGCTCTTTAGCTGCTAAATGCTCCACTATGTTCAACAGCTAGAGATGTTAACTTTGTCTGTAAGCTGTTTGGTGCTGAGCAGGTAGTGTTCTGTGGGTTTTTAAGGTTGTGGGCCGGACAGCTTAACAATGAGCTCACTATAAATCTCTGTAAAGCCGAGGGGAGCTGCAGATTCAGTTGTTTACTCTCTGAAGGTTCATCACAATGAGCGACCTCTTTCCCTTTGTTATCATTCGATTCATTGTTACTATAAAAATATCACTTTACGGCCCTTTAATCTCACTGCATACTGGACACAGGTAATCCAGTCTGTGTGGGTGTGTGTGTATTGTGTGTTAATTAGGTCATGTAACTGACAATAAACCGCATGTGTTCGTATCATCAATCACTGGGAAGGGAGGCTGTAACATAGCTCATGACAGCCAAAACACTTTCACTTTTGCAGTCGAGCGAGACAGTGAAAGAAAAAAAAAACGATCGTGCTCTACAAGATAATTTATGTGAAAGTATTCCAACATGTTAGTATGCAAGTATGTAGGATATAAGTATAGTTTGCTGTCTCTTGTTTTTCGGTTTCTGTTTGTCTTTCTTGTTTTTGCTTATATGTTTGAAAGCAACTTTTGTTTAGAGACGTGCTGTTTAAATAAAGTTAAAAGTTCAACATATTACTTGTTACTTCGACTATAGGGCTTTACAAGAAGATGGACCGCTTCCAACACATTCTTTCACCGTGCTCCCAGTAGACCACACAACACTAACAATCTGATCAATATAAATACACTGTGAAATACAAAAAGTATTCTGTCTGTATATATATAATATTTGTTATTGTGGATTTTTTACTAAGTTAATATTCTTTACTGTTTTATTACTTATTTACTTATTTATAATACTTGTTTTTGATCTTGTTTTTTTGCTGTCTCTTGTTTGCACTATACTATACGCTGCTGTAATCCTGTAAATTTCCCCGCTGTGGGAAAAATAAAAGGATTATCTTATCTCATCTCTATTTAGTTTCTTATGATACTTAACATCAGCTTTTGCTTTAACTCTTTGCTCAAACGATGATAAATGCATGTAAATATCTCACTGAGTTGTAATCTTGCTGCTTCACCAAACATTTCAATCTCAGCTCAAGTCCTATAAACTTGGTTGATCGTCTATTTGTGAGGAGGAAGTCTGCATCAAACGGTTATCAGTTTACAGTAAATCGTGTAACTCAAGGATCCTGTTTTTCTTAGCACACAATAAGTGCAGTGTCTTTGCTCCACTTTGTAATAAAACAAAGACTATGAAGTTTAACTTTCAGTTTGAAGGTTTACACGTTGGATGAACGGTGCATAGCCTCAGTTTTTGAAGCAGTACAACGGGACATGGACCCGTCGACCCGAAGTGGATGTTAAAACCCAGAAAATGAAAGCTGAATATATTAACTTCATAGTAAGTGTTTCATAAGAGATCCAATGCAAAAAAAATTCACAACGTGCGATAATGTGTCCAAATATTGATGCAACAGTTCAGAACAAAACGTAGGCACACGTCACAGCAGAAGTGCTAAAAAACAATCTACTATGAGTAATATCTTCTGTTATTTGGAACCTTAGGGGATGAGGTGAGATGGTAGTTACATGGGTATCAGTGTTGTTCAATCTAAAAATAGGAGTTGATAAGAATGGGAGAGGTTGTCCATTTCTAATGGAAATATATATATATATTTGAATTGCTTGATAACACACCGATACAACCCCAATTAAAGTTCTAAACAGTAAGAGCATCCTAAACAGAATCATTTGTGTCTTTCAGTTTTGTACCTTTTTGAGGTCAAATGAATGAAGGAGTGACATGTGTCATTGCTGCCACACAAAAAATTTCGTAACCAACCAACTCTAAGTTAAATATTAATGATACACAGAGTTCACTTACTTGCAACAACTTGACTGTCAAGAAGAGTCTTGGCGAGTCCGAACAGCAGAGAGCTCCAGTCAGCTTGTTCCCCGTTGGAGTTCGCAGCTCTTCATGAACATTCCTACTTTCAGTTCAGGTTGGTATCACACCGGGAGGCGGGGCCACACTATCAAAAAGATCTTTTGGCTCTGTAACACCGTATATGTTTCCTCAAATTCTCCAATAGCAGGTTTAATTGACAGACGCGCACATGCGAGCGCGCGCGCGCGCACACAAACCACATGCTTGTTCAGGTGCTCCGGTCGAGCTCTTACTTTTACTTTCAATTTAGACAAGCTGATTCTTTTAAATCACGTGATTGTCAGCAGCGCGCGTGCGTTTTTAGCGTGCATCTGCGCGTGCGTGTGCGTGTAAATGTCGCGTGTACACCGTTTACATGACCTAAAAATGCAGAACTACCAGGTAGGTCTGAATGCAAAATACATTGAAGGGGTTTTCATAATGCAAATAATCTTTTTGGATCCGGATTTTGAACTATGCAGACTACTCCTTCCGGTCAAAATGAATGTGAAACCGTAAATGATGCGTGTTCAGCATATCAAACATTTATTATCATAATGAGTCTCATTATTATATAAAATGCTCTCTGCTTCTTCTTTTCTTAATAAAGTGGTGAAACGCTGCACACTTAAAACTAAACAAACATACATGTATATGCTATGAAGATTCATACATTTTGAGCTCCTTCATGGTTTAAACGACTAAATGCAAAAATACATTCAATGTGCAACATTACTGGATATTTATGCAGATCACTTTGAAATGCAAAAACGCTTTTTTTGCTCTAAAGACAGAAGAATATAATGGCCACACACACACACAAACATGTAACACAAAAAGATAAGAACTTCTCTACAAGCTCAGACATGATCTTGGTTGCATTCAGAAAATATTCAATCTAATATAATTTTAAAACATTTTGAATGCTTGCAGATGCTCTCAACCCCTGGAGGGGGAGCATTGTCCCTCAAAGCCTGCATGAATAAAATGTAATCTCAGATATGCCCTTTGTTCATTCTTACAAAATGTTGTATGATTTTTGTGGTTGACATAGTTATAATATGGGTAGTATATAAAACCAGATGAAATATACAATTTTGGTTTGGTTGCAGTTTGTATCAGAGGCAGATGGACACCTTGTGGGGAAACAAGCTAACTGCACACACATTAATACGCACACACACTCTCTGATGCCATGGTAACTAGTCTGACTTCTCTTATCACAGAGCAATGATCAGTCAGCTTCTAGCATTTACAAAGCATTCATTAACATAGTAGATTTCAAGTTACACAAAGGAAACGTCACAGGGTTTGTTTGTTCACATCTTTATTAATCATTGGTGAGTATAAACGTCACTGTGAGAGGCCGATGTTTCAGACTGTGGCGCTGGACGCCTGGTCTTCTTTTTTGTTTTGTCTGTGCATCCAGTAGGCAGCAGCTGTTACAGCAAAGAGCCCATAAGTAGCCAAGACATACTGTAAGAGAGCGGAGAAGGACATATTTCTGAAGTACTTGATATGTAAAAGCTTAAATTAACATTTACATTGAATGCAGCCTGTGCGTGTAAATATGTGTGTGTGTTATGTACATTTCTGCGACCCTGCAGAGTGTAGCTATTAAAGTATTTCCTCAAACCGGTCAGTTCCCCAGAAGCCGGGGCCTCGATGCCAAACACAAACGCACAAAAAAAACAACACAGTAAGAGGAAGCACTGCAACCACACTGCTTGATATCACTTCTTCTACTAATGCATATGCTGAGATTTATTAACAAAATATCTCCGTTCTCAAATAGCTGCAACAGCAATACATGAAAGCCAGGCGTTTCTCATAACTACTGACAGGAGAATTAACTTTTTAATGATGTCGAAAACACATTTATCTAAATCATGTCACTAAAAATGATGAATGTGTTTTAATGTTGATGATGTTTTCAAACTAGCTTTGCACGACATGTGGCTGAGAAAGAAATAGTTTGACATTTTCAGAAATGTATTCACTTTCTTGCAGAGAGTTAGATGAGCAGACTCACAGTAAATATAAAGCTATACCAAGAGGAGACCTTTAGGTTAGCTTAGCATAAATACTGACAACAGGAGGGAACAGCTAGTTTGGCTCTGTTCAACAAAAAAGAAATCTGCCTGTGAGCACCTCTAAAGCTCATTTCTTTAATCTATTAAAAAACAAAGTGTTACAATTACAAGCTGTGGTTTCACATTAGGCAATGCATTTGACTATTAGCAGCCCCGTGCAGCTGTTTCCCCTGCTTCTAGTCTTTATTCTAAGCTAAGCTAACCTTCTCCTGGTTGTATCTTTATATTTAAAGGATTTGAATTTGGGGTATACACTTAATTGTTTTCTTGCTGAGAGTTAGAGGAGAGGATTGATACCACCCTTAATGTCTGAACAGTAAATACAAAGCTACAGTCAGGAGACAGTTAGCTTAGCATAAAGAGTGGAAACGGGGGGAAACAGCTAGCCTGGCTCTGTCCAAAGGTAACAACATCCGCCTAGCAGCACCTCTAGAGCTCACTATTAACATGTTAAATGTTTGTTGAATACATAGAACAAGTGTCAATAAAGCTCAGCACATAAGCTCCTGTAAAACAAAGTTGTAGTTTTAGAGGAGGTTGCGTGCGAAGCTCTTTTAGCCGTTTCCTCCTGCTTCCAGGCTTTATGCTAAGCTAAGCTAACGGTCTACTGACACTTTCATACTCATGTAGACACAAGAGTGGCATCAATCTTTTCATCCAACTCTCAGCAATTGAAGTGAAAAGGTGTATTTTTTTTTTATTTGTGCTATACATGACAGTAAAAATGAATTATCACTTTAAAAATGTCGTCGCCATCTTCTTACATTGTCTTTTTTTTTTTTAATTCAAGACGACTGAATTCCATGAAGTGAAGTGTTCCTCTGCTTTACAGCACATGAGGGGGGAGAATGCAGAATACAAGCATCCATGTGAATAGATGAATAATTTCCATTATGAACATTACACTTGCACGGAGTGCGCCAGCGGCGACAGCAGAGTGCTGACGAGGCCGCTCTGCTCGGCAGCGCTGATTTATTCTGCAGCCGGTATTAGCAGAGTAGAGACGAAACCCTTTCTTCCCCCTCAAGCCTGATACAGATTTAATGAAGTGAAACCACGTTGTGGACTGGAGCATGATGGGGTAGAGGACAGCTGTTTCAATCATTTAGAAATCAGCAGCTGTGCCCTTGTTGTTTATCTGATTCTTTTAAGATTTTATCGATGATAAAATGTCATAATGAGCATATCTGACACCTCTGTTACAACTCTTAAACACAGATGAACGGGACGAGGGTTCTGTGTGGATGATTTTATATTACAATGTCTAATAGATTAAACAATCACAAGGAGAAAAGAAAAGATGAGATAACTTTAAAGTTATTTGAAATAATGCTAAATATGTTTTGTTTAAGTATTACCATGAAAACTTCAAGTCTTTTTTTAGGATTGTTTGTGAAAACAATACGGAAATGAAAAACCCACAGCTCTCATGACATTATTTTCAGCTGCAGAAAGCAGCTGTCTTCAGTGGAAAGAGGCTAAAAACAGTGGTGGAAAATAACTACATGCATTTACTCAAGTACTGTACAGGGTTGAGCAGATTAAGTACAAAAAGGTAGTTAAAAATAAGCCCCCACAGTACCAGCTGCAACCTCGGTGGTGCTTACACATTAATAATGCATCCATAACTAATCCAATAATATAATATACATTATTCTGAAATGGGACATTGTGCATAGTACTTTTACATAGTATATTTGCCAACACATTTGTACCTTTACTTAAGTAGAAATTGGATTGCATGACTTTTACTTGTGAGTAAGGTTTAGTAAAAGCAGGAGTGCATGCGCAGCTTTCTTCTTCATCTTACTGGTTCATATATTGGGTATATTGTAGCATTATGTTGATCATTTACATTTTACAGAGTCCTTTATTTCTATTTTTCTCATATTTCTTTATGCTTAGGCCTATAATACAGTATATAAGAGCAACTGTCACTGTCCAATATCCCCCCGCAGATACATTCAGTATTTCTGATTCTGATTCATTTGCACCGTAATACTTTTACTTAAGTACAAAATCTGAGTATTTCTTCCACCACAACTTAAAACTCCTGGTTCGGGGCTTGTAAAGATCAGTTTCATAAATATCATATAACATATATATCAGCATGAATCTCACCTTTGTGTAGCTTGTGTAAGTTTGTTTTAGAAGGCGTACTGGGCTCATTGTTGCCCCTTGTGGCTGCTGAGGAGAGACACACTCACTGTGTATTTTCCGCCCTTGTCTTTTTAAATACTCGTTATTTGATTTATGTATCCCTATTTTTTGCACAGCTATTTGCTATTTTACAAATGTTATACACTCTACATGTTTCCTACCTTTAGACAGTTTCTTGTAAAGCCGTAAAGTGAATTTGGGAGATCATAAAACGCCTCTATCTTATCTTATCTTATTTTGTTTTATTTGATATGATCAAGCCAAAATCAATAAACAAATTATTGTTTCAGGCCGTGAAAGGTGCTCCACCTCATGAGTAAAATGATCAGGAAAAGTAAAAGTAAAAAGAGAGAAAGTGATATGTTAATAGGTATTTGTTTAATGCAAATAATCCCTTGTTTTTAAATCAAAACAGATGCATTTTCACTCCATCAATCCACTTGTCCTTATTTAATTTAATTCCACCACTGTAGACAGTGCATGCATAAATCAAACACTGTTCTTACCTTCACCTCTGTTATGAGATGACCGAAACTGGTGAGGGGGATCCGCGTGTTAACGGGAGACGTCGGCATAACTGGAGACAGTTTGAATGAAAATGTTTATCATGCCTCACACAGTCACTCCTCAGTCCCACACGTAATTTAAATGAACATTTAGAGGGAGAACTTACTGCTCTGTTGGTTGCAGGCGGGACGCTTATACAATATATTTCATGTGTACATTAAGTTCCGGGGGAGCTGTAACTGAGCGTTCCGTCCAATCATGTGTTTCCATTCAAAGCGCGGACCAATAGGACGCGGGCAGTTGGGCGGGGCTTGTAGCTTGTTACACAAACGGCAGATCTCAGAGGCGACCTGTCATTTCTCTATTCAACCACAGGAGGGCGCCAGATTACAGTTTATAACAAGGCATGTCCCCCAAATACAGGTTATTTCAAATACAAGCAAAACTACTTCAACGCTTTGTTTTATGTCTCCTAGTTTCTTACTAAATACTTAGAAATGTTCCCACTTAGTTTCTAGAGAGAAGCTGAGAACTTATACGTTTTTGACAATTATCTTAAGTGTGATATTTTATTTATTTATTAAGCAAAAGTTGCTTTATTATATTCAGTAGTATGATAAACTGTAATTTACAACACTGGAAACATTTTAGTTTTGTGTCTCAAAATAGGCTACATTTTAAAATACATTATTTTAAATGACTGTTGCTCTAGTATAAGTAACTAAATACATTTACTGAAGTGCTTAAGTACAATTTTGAGGTACTTATACTTGAGTATTTGTATTGTATGCTATACTTTGCATTTCTGCTCTACTACAATTCAGAGAGAAATGTGTTTTACTCCACTACATTTATGTCACAGCTACAATGACTAATAACTTTAACTGTAACATACATGTTATGTGAAATACTAAGACCATTCATGTAATGAAGTAGAACTATTAAGAAGCACAAAGTGGAAATACTCAAGTAAAGTACAAGTACTACTTGAGTAAATATACTTTTACTTACTGCAGGTTATTTTTTAATTTAGCAATATTGAAAGTAATTCAATACTACCAAGTACTATTTTCAGATACTTTAACTTTACTTGAGTATTATGATATTTTATGCTACTTGTATTACAATTCAGAGGAAAATGTACTTTTTACTCCAGTACATTTATTTAACAGCTGTAATTACTAATTATTCACAGACTTAAGTTTTTTAATTCAAAACACGAGACAAGTCCACATGATTGTCATAGTTTAAACTACACATCAATATATGAAGTAGTTAAAATTAGCTGCACCTCAACTAAAGTGTCGCTGACATTGATACTGCAGTAATGATAATCCAACAATAAAACACTGACAGGCTCAATTCTGTATGTAAAGATAATATTTACCTTTTTTAATTAAATTACTTCTGTACTTAAAATGTATCATTTTGAAGGCAGGACTTTTTCTTTGATATTTATAATGTGGTGTTGCATCTTTTACTTCCACTGCTGATCAACAGCACCATGTTGTCCAGACAGGAGATCTAAATATAGTGGACTGCTTTTATGTTTCTAAAATAAGAATTCTGATCTCTAGATATTTAAAAATGCATTTTGTGGATCTCAAAATGTAAGTCGTGAATCATTTGTAAGTATATATATAAATATATATATATAAATCTAAGTGGTTGATTTGAAGCTCATTTGAACTAGTTTAATTACTGTTTTTATTAGCTGTTCATTTATTAAGCAGTTTATATATTTTGTTTTTTAACATCTTCATAACTGTCACATAAAATGTAGAAAAAAATAAAGGTAGAATATTTATGAGGGGGAAGTAAAATACAAGTACCTCCAAATTGGTTTTAATGTAAATACACTAGCCTACTTAAGAAAATGTACTTTCACTTTCCATCGCTGCTAATGAGGTATTATAATTATGATAAGTATAATTATAAGAAAAATGGAGAATGTGTTCTGTGGATACCACAATTCACTCATTATGAAATAAAGAAATAATGTGTTTGTAGCTTGAGACACAAAACTGAAAATGTAGCCTGGTTGTAATATTCAAGATGATATACAGTTAAACTTAACACATATTTATAATATAATAGGATTATTTACTTGAGTTACCAAGTGTCTCTTCGTCAGTTCAAGTTGTTGATTAACTATTAACTTGACCCTCTTAATTACCTTGTAATTATTACCACAACACATAGTCTACATAAGCTTATTATAAATATCATTGATGACATTAAAGTCAGTATTGCAGAAACTGAACACCAACATTGTTCTTTAGGTCACCAAGGAAAGCTTGTTTGTTTGTCCTCAGTGTCGACAAGCTGATATATAAACCAAGAGAGGAAATGCTGTTCAGAAGCTCGTTGTCATTGTTGAAGGTACTAACCAGCGCTCACATCCCCTTTCTGCAGAATTTGGTCATTTTATATATGAAGACATTTCTTTCCTTTGTCTTCCCACTTCTGCCACCACAGTCCATGTTCACTGCTGAAGTGCACAGTCACCTCTGAGCGATGAAGAGGAAGTGTGCAGTCACATAAAAAGTGTTTGAAATCGGGATCAAGTTCAGATCAACAACATCCAGGTCGGCTCAGAGTTTCACTGCATGTATTTCTGCATCTTATTTATTGATCAACCAATGACTACATGTTGACTGTGTAATCTTACTAATGCACTCATCATGACCAGTATCTCCACCAACTGGGCACGTTTATTTATACAGCCCAATATCACAAATCACAAATTTGCCTCGAGGAGTCTAATAATCTATAACGCATACGACACCCTCTGTCCCTCGACCCTCTTTTCCAGTTGGACAACATGTTTACTGTATATATTAATAAAATATCCAAGAGTTACTACGAAAATATCCTAAAAACATAAGTGAAATAATCAAATCATATCATTAAAATATCAGAATATTTTTTTAGATAAATATCCTCAAAATATTAGTGAAATAGCATAAATATATTCTTGAAATATTAATAAAATATCCTAATATTACTTCCAAAATATTAATAAAACATTAGTCAAATATCCAAACAACATATCCCCAAAAATATTAGTAAAACATCATTAAGCTATTTGAAAGAATGTCAGTAAAAGTAGAAAGATTGATTACATTATATAGTAGTAAAGGTTTGTAGTATTTAGCTGGGACTTGCACATAAATGAAAAGTTCCTTATAGACTGCATTAGTTTCTTTACACCATCTGTGTGACAGGTGAGAGATGATGGGCACCTTTTTAAGCCCCTTTCTCACATCAAACCTGAACATAACAGTTAAATATATTTGTTTCTGTCACTAAACTCCTACACATAACATGACCAGAGGAATTAAAGGCACAATCGGTAGTCTAAGTGTAATGAACAGGGACACCCCAGCACCTGAATTCATAATAGATTAGCAGCCCTCGATAAAACTATAACCAAATATATGTTTTTGCAAAGCAAAACTCCTGAACGTATTGAACTGAGTAAGATTAGGTTTTCTTGTTTAAGCATCCAAAAATCTGATGGATTTAGATGCTGGGGTGTTCCTTGTACATTATAAATTGTGCCTTTAATTCCTCTGGAATGGTCATGTTATGTGTAGGAGGTTAACTGTGAATATTTGAACCTGTTATGTTACAGGTTTAATGTGAGAGAGGGGCTCCAAAAGGTGTTCATCATCTGTCACCAGCCCACAACTACACAAGCATACCAGCAACGATATACCGTTTAGCTGCACAGATGCATTCAATAAGAAAAGTAATTTGAAATCACACAGATGATTTGAACTGTTGCATTAAACACTTGTACACCTTTAAAAACGTTTTGAAAGAGGAATGTGGAAGTCTGCTTTTAAAATGAATGTATTCTTGCTTTATCTTGACTGATTAAAGCTGCATTAAATCGTTTGTTTTCTAATTGGAAACCTAAAATAACAGCAGGTCTTAAAACGCTTGATACACGGACCCTCCCTCTTGAGAACAAAGTGTCAACATTAGAGAATAAAGCCGGGCTCACTTTAAAGCCCTTATTATGTCGATGTTCTGCTTTTGTGTTGCATATTCATAAAGTTTCCACACATTATTAGAGGATAGGTTCATCAGTCTGTTTTAGAACAACAGTCATGGACCCATATGAGCAGTGATTTAGATGCTGTAATCGTTCTTCCTTCTCATTCAGGTACATTAGGTCAACCTCTCCTGACGCACTTCCACTGGGAAGAGGGACAGAGTCCACAGCCCTCCTTCTGTGCATAAATACATTCCTCAGTTTATCTGACGTTGATATGAGGCTTCAGCAGTTTGATTTAGAGTATACTCATATATCTTCCAAAGTCACGGTCTTCTCACATTGTAATCCCTGAGTTGTGAGCAGTTCAACCAAAGAATGTTGTTTCATTTTTAATAATTGTTATAGGTCTGAATGAGAAAAAGAAAGAGAACAACACGACCACTAATGAAGTTATCAAAACTGACTTTTTGGGCACCCTCGAGGTCTGGGGGACTGGAGCAGTTGGCAATTTTTCCCAGTTAGTAATCCTTGTATGTGTACGTGGGCCCCCATCTCTGTGTAATGTATACGCTTCACGTCTTATTTCACACATTTTGGAAAGCACGCTTATCTCTTTCTTACCGAGAGCTTTAGATGAGAGGACTGATACTACATTACTCTCAGTTCTGAAGGATAAACATGAGGCTGCAGCCAGTTTATCTGAATCAATACTTGAAAAGGGGAAACGGCAGCTGTCCAAAGGCAAAAAACTCTGCCCACCAGAACCTGTACACCTCACAAATAATACATTTTATCTTGCTTGTGAAGCTCGGGGAACTTCAAACTTCAAATACTATTTGTGGGGTCTTCATTTCTGGCTGTGTTGCTTCTTTAAGAGGGTTATGTGCAGGACTATTTATTTGCCGGGACCAGTCACTTCCTGGAGTCTTGGTAACCTCACAGTAAAGAGAATACTTCACCATCATTTATCAAATTAGGCTACCAAAAAAAGCACAATTAATCCCGGGGCTTTGGGGGCCCCTGAGTCTGGGGCCCCAGAGCCATTGTCAGGTTAGCGATTCAGCCTTGTGTGTGCGTGTTTGTTGTTGTTATGCTTCACTGAAAGTATGCAGTATGTGGTTTGACTTGTGCTGCTGTTGACAAGGATTGCTTCATAGATATGTAAACATCTACGCGCGCACGCACTCATA